TGGGGGCTTGCCTGGGGTGGGAATGGCTGGGGAGGGGGTCAATTGGGGAAAAAGGAGACATATGTAAAACTTTACACAATAAAAAAATAGTTAAAAAAAGTAAAGTACAGTATAGGGAATATAGTCGATAATACTGTAATAACTATGTATGGTGCCAGGTGGGTACTTGAAATATCAGGTGGACAACTTTGTAAAGTATATGACTGTAGGCCCTATGCTGTACACCTGAAACTAATACAAAATAATATTAAATGTAAAATGTAATTGGAAAAAAAAGAACTATCCCCTTGGGGTACACAAGCGAATTATAAATGCAAGAGATTTGGGTCAGATATTAAGTTATAATTTGTTTCTTCTGTTTGGAATGGTCATTTCCCCCTCTAGGCAAACATGACTTTTATCCGGAATCACATCCATCCTGTCCCCTCCTGTCTTCCAAAGACTCCCCATGACTACCACCTGAGTTTGTCACTATCTCATCCAATCATAAAGGCCCACCTCAAACTCTCCCCACCTTGAAGCATTTATCCCACCTTACTGGGCTCTCTCCTCCTGGCGACAGACCTCACCCAGTGTGTACTGACAGTATTCCCGTTACCACGTTAGTCACTGTTTTTCCTTTCTATACCTCTTTACTCGGTTGGGAAAAGGCATTGTTATAAACAATCTCTGGTCGTGCGGCAGTCCCCAGAACAGCACCAGGAACCGAGCAACCATTCCATAAATGCTAACAGGGATCTCAGGCTACTGGGCTTCCACACCTCACCCGTCCTTTAAAGCAGGATTCCACCCAAATCAAACAAAAGCTCACAATCTCTGTTCGCAAAGGCCCCAGACATCTCCATCTGCCTCAAGAGTGGGCTCCAATTTCACACATTTCATTTTAATCCACTGTAGCATTCGAAACACCGTCAAGCGTGCAACAGCGCTGGTAGGATGCGGGGATACAGGGCCTGTGCGAGGACCCAAAATCTGGATGCCACAACGTGAGAACAGCCACGTTCGCTAGAAAACAATTCCCCTCACCGCTTACTGCAGGGCTAGAGAGGCCTGAGACAGGAGCCAGACCAAACGGCCACAGGAGAGGTGCCAAGAGAGTCAACTGGCACAGGGTTGTACCCACGGCCTGACCTCAGGCTGGCACCTACCTTCCTCCTCTCCAGTTCCAGCTGCAGCGCCCGCAGCGGTGGTGGCCCCCGGGCCCGCCGCCATGGCTAGCACGGCTCCAGCTCCGCCCGAAACCCAAACTGGAGTAAAGAGTGAGAGGGGTCCCAGCGGGGCCAAGGCTCTGGCTCTGCAGCCCGTGCACAGAAAGGAATCCCAGCGGTTGCTACCGGCTCTTCCGGAAGCGCCGCTCACGTGCAAGTCATGTGACCGGCGCTGGGCGGGGCCACGCAGGTTTGTTTTGATTTCACCGGAGCTGTAATGTAACCACATGGTCTCGATTGTGGTTCTTTTTGCCTTCCGCAGTTTTGTCCTTCTTTCAATGCTGGCTTTTCTTGGCTTCGTTTCTGCTTCTCCTCGTTTTCTAGTTCGATCCTCCCTTTCCGCCTTGGTGATTTCCTCTCTCCAATTATATTGGAGTTTTAGGGGATGTTTGCTTTTTTTTTTTTTTTTTTGGTGGAGCTCGGAGCAGTGAATGTGGCCCTGCGTCCGTTTACTCTGCTAACGCTCTTACAGCCTTCGATACTAGATCGCACGCTTCTCCTCCTTTCCCTTCCCACCTGCTTTGCCCTTCTGGCAGCAGCATGACTCCATTTGGTTTTCGTGGCTGCCGGGAATATGAACCTCGATCAGATGTCCTTTAATTGTGTTCCCTGTGACTCATCTCCCCACCCAGTCAGGCCAAATCGCTTAGGTTTTCAAGGGCACTAACCAGCAGCTGTGAGGCTTCTAGATTTGTATAGCAAAATAAACAACCGTCAGCTTGATCTAGAGATCAACAACCCCCACCCTTCTCGTTTACTCTTCCTCAGGTCAAAATCATAATTGGATATGGATCTGGGTCATTTGGGAACAAACCCTCCAGTGTAGGTTTTTTCCCCCCTCAGCCCAGGATATATACTAGTAGAGTTGATTTGAGAGAGAGAAGAGATTGGTGAGAGAGAAAGAAAAGAAAAGGAAAGGAAAGGAAAGAGAAGAAAAAAGAAAAGAAAAGAAAGAAGGAATATCTGTTTCTTCCAGTAAGCTCCCAGAACCTGGATGAACCTGCAACATGTGCCCTGACAGAATGGAACCCGCAACCTTTTGGTATACAGAAGGACCCTCCAACCAAATTGGCTGCCGGGCCAGGGCACAAATCTTCCAGTTTAATGAACATATCTTTTTTTAAAATATATTTTTATTTCTTTCAGAGAGGAAGGGAGAAGGGGGGAGAGAGAGAGAAACATCAATGATGAGAGAATCATTGATTGGCTGCCAGCTGCAAACTGGGGGCGAGGGGAGGGAGAGATGGGGGGGTGCGGCGCGAGCCCCGCAACCTGGGCATGTGCCCTTGACCAGAATCAAACCCAGGACCCTCCATCCACTGAGCCAAACCAGGTAGGGCACGACCATATCATTATTGCTCGCTTATTGATGACAGGAAAAAAAGTAGAAACATCATCTTTTATATATGAGTAAAATTGGCTAGTTTATAACCTCATTGGGTATGTAATACAAAAAGCTGCTAAAACTAGGCAGTACTTAGTGTACATTAAAAATTATTTTCAAGTGGCGACATTTGGGTCCCTACTACACCTGAATTTTATTCTACCTCCCCCATTAATTTCTGAAGTTAAAAAAAAAAACAAAAAATAAAACCCAATATAGAAGCAAGCATTAGCTTGAGTGACTAGAGGTCAACAAGTTGTTTACTAGGCACATGATGTAAAACTTGGACACTTCCTCAAGCAACCCGGGTTCTGTGCCCAACCTCCTCTCATAGAGCCTCTCTGGCATTTTCCCGGGGCCAGCCGCCTCCTCCCCGCCGTCCCAATTCCTCACGGTCCTCCTCTGGGACGCCAGCTCCGCTCCATCTCTCCTCACCCGGGGGCCGTCCCACTCCTGCACCCCAGCCTCCCCGAGG